TGTTTAATGAATTTATTTTTATCACAAATAATTATTCTTCAGTTTCACAATGATGCAGGCTCTATGTAAAGCCGACCCACAGCTGGTACACATGTTTTTTCCTCCTTTTTCTCTGGAAATGTTGAAAAACACAAATACTGGATGTAGAAAGTATCTGAATAAACCGTCCTGTCTGACAACGTGACTATTTATGTTTATGATGCTCAATCATTACATTATTGTCTGTCATTAGTGAGTCTACTTCATAATTTCTGAATTATTATGCAGTCTAACTAGTCAACTATCCAATAAAGTCCATATTTACATGTATCAGTAAATGATATATTTGACAACAGATAAAATTGATTTTAAATAAGATTAAACATGAACAGTGAAGCTGTTTTATGTTAGCATACAGGTTTTACAATTAAAATAATTTATTTTAGTTAAGTACGTGTAATATTTACCTGTGAAACATAACCCTTTAAACGTGCTGTAACAATTTCTGGAGTTTGTAGCAAAGTATTTATACCATTTGTACAATTACAAACCGTTTGTTTGCACCGCGCTACGTTCTGCTCATTGATTTCAATGGTTAGCATTAGCATTAGCTCAATGCATAAAAATCCCACTTGCGAAGCCACGCCCAGGTCACGTGACGCCCAATCCAGCAGCAGTGGTCGTGTGCGCAGGGAGCTGTCCATTTCAAAGTGTTTGTTGTTCCGACAGGGAACGCTGTGTGGCGGCGTGGAGCTGTTTGACTGCTGCTTGAGGAGAACCATCTATAAGAACAAGTTTGAGATGACCTACGTCGGCCTGAGTCAGGTAGAAAACAAAACGGCCTCAGCTGCAGAAAGCACACACTGATTTTTACAAGAAACAAAACAACTTAAAGAAAAATACTCCGACTCTGCGTTGCTCCCRGCTGGGAGTTGATTGGAAACCTAAATGAGCTCGTTAACCGTGTGAGTCGAGTCGTTCARATTAAATACATTTAAGTGCAGCAAGTGCCTCAGGTTTGTAATCAAGAGAAGAAAAAAGATAATTGAAGAGCTTGAAACAATCAAAACTTTGTTTCTTTTTTGTACTCAAATATGGAATAAAATACCTCAAATGAAAATCACATCTTGTTTTATTTATTTGCCATCCGTTTCAAGCTAAAACCTAATGGCACACCTCCAGATATTTCTAAAAATATATACTGTATCTTATTRTTTGAAGTACAGTGTTAGAAACAGAAAAAGAAGCTGATGAGAATATGATTGGGAAATTAATTAGAGCTTCTAATGAGACTCAAACTGAGACAGTTCTGGTTTCTAATTAGCAGTTCATCAGTAAACATAGTCTTTTCTGAAGGACCTAAACTTTCTGATCTGATTAAGTCTGTGAGCCTCAAAGCTGCAGCCGTTAAAGTTTATTTCTGTATAAATTTCTTCTGCAAGTCAAATATAAAGTTGTTTTTCTGTCCCTTTAATAAATCTAGATTCAACACAGTCTGTTGGCTTCTGTAGATTAGTTGTTTTTTGTGAGAAAACAATGGTTGTGATTTGGCGTTATATAAATAAACTGAAYTGAACTTTTTTCTTCAGGTGATCGTGAGGAACCTCTCCACGGGAACACGGGTGGTCCTGAAGTCCTACTACGGTTATGAGATCGAGGAGGTTAAGATCATGGGAAAGGATCGTTACCTGGTGGCTCACACCTCAGACACTCTGCTGCTCGGAGACCTGCTCAACAATAAATTAAGCGAGGTACCGAACGGGTTCAGGTTCTGTCCTTTGGGTTTTAGCAGGGGGTCACATCAGCATTGAGAAACCAGTTGTAATTAAATCTAGGCTCATAGTTGATGTGTCGTACAAGGGGGCACGTGCTAGGAGTGACGTGACGGTGTTGGCCCCGCRTGGTGTCCCGGCACGTGGTCATGCACCATCGAATTTTTGTAACTTCGCAAAGGCTGCACACACCGCGCACTTTGTTTGTCAAGCTTTTGCTCTCGTACTTACGACATTTTCACAGGATATAAAATGTCCTTTTGGAGAATACTACAACAACACAGCATCAAATATAAACACCTACACTCCTGGTGAGGGTGCTGTGCAAGTRCCCAAAGCGTGACTATGACCCAGCCTTGACGTTGACTAAACATGAAACATCACGTTTCTGGTCTTGTTGCTACCGCTGAGCCCCGCTAACAAACAATAACTGAGCTCTACCTGGTATTTCCTGCATGGAAACAGCGTTTTAACACGTCTGCTTATAAACACAGATAGATAGATAGATAGATAGATACTGTAGATAGATAGATAGATAGATAGATAGATAGATAGA